TTGTCAATTCCAAAAACTCAATTTACCTGAAACTCAATTTAGCCCAAAACTTTTGAAACTCAAATCACCTAATTGCTGTCTCAGACCATCAAGCCATTGTTTGTAAATTTCTAAACTCAAAACCCAGAAAGAGGGAGGAGAAGAAATCCCTAAACCCAAACTGGTTTGCTTGGGAACATTGCAAATTGGTTTGCTCAGAAAAACATAGCAATGTCTGTGGTAGTGTTGTAGAGGTGGGTATATCTTCAAGTCCTCCTTCTTCTCCACCTCCGCTGTTGCTCTTTCACTGGAAAAACATCCGCAGCTCTTTCACTGAAAAAACCTTGCAGATGTAGGATTGCAGACTGAGGGTTTGGGGGATGGGGTGGGGAAGACATTGATTGCTAGGGTTTTTTTGTTTTTGTTTTTGTTTTTGCTTTTTTTGTTTTTAAAGATTTAATTATTTTTAACGAAAAATTGGATGAAAATACATGAAAAGTAACGGCAGGGGCTAAGTTGGCCATTTAAAATAGTTCGATGGTTAAATTTGTTGAAAAAATAATTCAATGTGAACATTTCGACAAGCGTTATAGTTCAGGGGGGTTTCGGCAGTTTACACTATTAAAAAAGGTGCGCCCAGCGCATAGGTGGCACGTGTCAAAACTGTAAAGCCAGGCGGCTATACTATTTTAAAAAAAAGGGTAAACCGCGTATATCCACGGCTATACTATTTAATATTTAAAAAATTCAAAAAATAAGGTATAGTTGGACGGCGATACTATTTATATATAAAGATCAGCCCAATGCCAATGCGCCACATGTCAAACCGTAAAGCCGTGCGGCTCTAATATGTTTCAGAACAATTTAAAAACTGGTATAGCCGCGCGGCTGTACGCGTTTTTAAAAGCAATTAAAAACCTGAGTATAGCCGTGCAGCGGTACCATTTATTTTAATACATGTTATTTTTATTCAATAATACGTGAGAATTATGTGAGTCTTTTTGAAAATTTGGTAACAAATACGTTCTTACGTATATAATACAGTATTAAACGTGAAAGTGCTAAAATCTTTATACTCTGAAAAAGTAAAAAATCAAAAAATGACAATAGATAGTCGAGTAATGGACTAATAGTAATGGATAGGGCCCTTAGACTATGGAGAAATTTAATTTAGACACCCAAAAGATTTCACAAAAGACTTAATAAATATAAATTAATTATTGTATGGACTTTCTTTAGGTTTTTTATATATTAAATAATAATTAAAATATAATTACTAATTAAAGTAATTCAAAAAAGCTAAGATAGTACTGAATTACATACATTAAATTATAGAAGTAGGCCAAAAAAACAAAAGTAAAGAAACGAATTTTATATTTTCGAATTATTTTAAAACAAAAATTAAAAAAAGTCTCCCGACGAAAGTTCATCGGCAGAGGTCTATACCGGTGAAATTTCCTAGATTAAATTTACTTTTAAAACAATATAGTCAGTCAGCTATACTATTTATATACATTTTAAAAAAAAAGGGACGTGCCCAGCGCATAGATGCCAAGTGTCAAAACAGTAACGCCGGCCGGCTATACTATTTTTTTTCAAAGGAAAAACAAGTATAGTCGATTGGCTATACTATTTAATATAAAAAAAAATTCAAAAAATCAAGTGTAGCCGGTCGGCTATACTATTTATGTATAAAGACCATACCAATGTCAATGCACCACGTGTAAAACATGTAAAGCCGTGCGGCCGTAATATATTTCAAAACAATTTAAAAACGCGTATAGCCGTCCGGCTATACTATTGATAAAAAAACAATTAAAAACCTGAGTATAGCCGTCCGGCTCTACCATTTATTTTAATACATGTTATTTTTATTCAATAATACGTGAATTTTGTGAGTCTTTTTTAAAATTTTGTGAAAAATACATGTATTAAATATGAGAAATATGCGCTTACGACTACTTGCCTTCTCTCTGTTTGGATTAGCTGGACAATCAGAAGTTCCTGATCTCACAGGACCTGATTTGGCTGTCACATATATGGAACTTAACTGTGGAATATCTGAACTTTCCTTAAAACTCAAACTTCTACCAAGCCGACCTAAGTTGAAGCTAAATCGGCGATTGGGAGTTGGGTTTCGGCCATTTCTAGTTGCCAGCTCTTCTTGATCTGATGTTTTTGAAGTATCAAAACTTGAACAGGTAAGCTTTTTCTCTGAATTTTTCTTCTTTATAAATTTATCATCATATAGCAGGTCTTGTGTTCCTTTCGAGCATGAGCGCATGTGAGATGGAACAAAGGAAGGCCCCATACTGTTACTGTTGATTGAGCCACTTGACATCATGTTTGACACTTTATTAAACTTAACTCCAGAAGGCAGTGGCATGAGTGTGGAACTTCAGAACAGAGTTCTGCAAAGTCCATCTCCTGTACTGAATTACATACATTAAATTATAGAAGTAGGCCAAAAAAACAAAAGTAAAGAAACGAATTTTATATTTTCGAATTATTTTAAAACAAAAATTAAAAAAAGTCTCCCGACGAAAGTTCATCGGCAGAGGTCTATACCGGTGAAATTTCCTAGATTAAATTTACTTTTAAAACAATATAGTCAGTCAGCTATACTATTTATATACATTTTAAAAAAAAAGGGACGTGCCCAGCGCATAGATGCCAAGTGTCAAAACAGTAACGCCGGCCGGCTATACTATTTTTTTTCAAAGGAAAAACAAGTATAGTCGATTGGCTATACTATTTAATATAAAAAAAAATTCAAAAAATCAAGTGTAGCCGGTCGGCTATACTATTTATGTATAAAGACCATACCAATGTCAATGCACCACGTGTAAAACATGTAAAGCCGTGCGGCCGTAATATATTTCAAAACAATTTAAAAACGCGTATAGCCGTCCGGCTATACTATTGATAAAAAAACAATTAAAAACCTGAGTATAGCCGTCCGGCTCTACCATTTATTTTAATACATGTTATTTTTATTCAATAATACGTGAATTTTGTGAGTCTTTTTTAAAATTTTGTGAAAAATACATGTATTAAATATGAGAAATATGCGCTTACGACTACTTGCCTTCTCTCTGTTTGGATTAGCTGGACAATCAGAAGTTCCTGATCTCACAGGACCTGATTTGGCTGTCACATATATGGAACTTAACTGTGGAATATCTGAACTTTCCTTAAAACTCAAACTTCTACCAAGCCGACCTAAGTTGAAGCTAAATCGGCGATTGGGAGTTGGGTTTCGGCCATTTCTAGTTGCCAGCTCTTCTTGATCTGATGTTTTTGAAGTATCAAAACTTGAACAGGTAAGCTTTTTCTCTGAATTTTTCTTCTTTATAAATTTATCATCATATAGCAGGTCTTGTGTTCCTTTCGAGCATGAGCGCATGTGAGATGGAACAAAGGAAGGCCCCATACTGTTACTGTTGATTGAGCCACTTGACATCATGTTTGACACTTTATTAAACTTAACTCCAGAAGGCAGTGGCATGAGTGTGGAACTTCAGAACAGAGTTTTGCAAAGTCCATCTCCTTGGTAGAAAAGCCACCTGAGAAGCTAATCCCTTTAGCTTCGGTCACACACTCATCCCGTGATGCTCTTGGTTTTGAAAGCTCCAGTACCTCTGTAAAGCCATTTTGGGGCAATTCCTTTGGTGGAGAGAGAACAGTGGTATTCTCCTCAACAGGGAAACGTTGATGACATAGATTGATATCTGGTTTCTGCAACTCCTCCATCCTTTTCTCAGTTTTACCATCGGAAGCAATTGCCTTTCCTTTTGAACTGAGTGAGACATCATATCTTCCCAAGTTAGACGACATAGCTCCCTCTTGATATTCCGAAATGATTCTTCGATCAATATTCTTCCTCTTGATATCTGATTCTTGCAACTCCTTGTTATTCTTAGCTTGACCCTCGCAAGCGCTAACCTCTTCCTTTTGACCGAGTGAGACTCGGTAACTTTTCAAGTTTGCTGCCGCATTTCCCATTTCTGAAGTGATCTTCTGACCTGAATCTTTTCCCTTTCCCTTCTCAACCATTATATCTGAGTGGTTTCTTCCATGAGACCCATAGGGGAAGGGTATCTTTTTGTGCCCATTGCTAAAATATGAATATGGTTTGAATGTATTAGGTTGAATTATATTCTTCTCCATAAGGAAGTATATATAGGAGTTTACATGAGTGCTTTACAAGGAAATAGATACAGTAATCAATTAGGATAATATCTCCTAATTATACAAAGATTTGTCATCTAAATAAAATGGAAAAGTAAATCCCTTAATTAATCAAGGAAATAAATCTCCTTGATTAATTAGGAGACTCACGTCAACACTCCTCCTCAAGTTGGTGTATATATGTCACCAATGCCCAACTTGGTAAGTGAGTCATGAAATACTCTACCACAAATAGCTTTTACTAAGATATTTGCTAGTTGATCTTTACGAATGGTAGGCAGATGATCTTCTTCTCAATCTTCTCTTTGATAAAATGTCTATCCACTTCAACATGTTTGGTTCGATCATGTTGAACTGGATTATTGGCAATGTCAATGGGTGATTTGTTATCACAATGAAACTTCATTGGCTTTCCTGGCTTGAAACCCAATTTTGTCAATAGTCTTCTGATCTATAGTAGTTCACAAACTCTGTGAGCCATTCCTCAATACTCTGCTTCTGCACTAGACTGAGAAACCACATTTTATTTTTTTACTCTGCCAAGTGACTAGATTACATCATAGGAAGGTAAAGTAACCTGAAGTAGAGAGTCTATTAGTAATGGATCCAGCCCAATCAACATATGTATATCTAACAACTTCAAGATCTCTATTTTTTGAGAACATTAATCCTTTCCCAGGTGCTGAGTTTAAGTATCTTAAGATCTGATCAACTGCATTCCTATGGGACACACTGGGTGAATGCATAAACTGACTAACCACACTCACAGCATATGCAATATCTGGTCTTGTGTTGGCTAAATACATCGACCTTCCAACAAGGCGTTGGTACTATTCCTTATCGGTTGGTTTTTGATCCATGCCTTCACATAACTTGTGATTCATCTTGATGGGTGTATCAGCAGGTTTGCATCCAAGCATTCCTGTTTTAGTGAGTAGATCTAATACATACTTTCTTTGAGACAGAAATATACCAGTTGTGGGCCAGGCTACTTCACTTCCTAGAAAGTACTTCAAATCACCTAAATCATTCATCTCAAACTCCTGAGACAAATACTTTTGCAGTTTCAGCTGCTCTCCTGTGTCGTTTCTAGTTACGACTATGTCATTCACATAAACAATTAATGCAGTAAATATTCTTCCATCACGTTTCAAGAATAAAATCTGATATGCATTACTCTGTATATATCCAAAATTCTTCAGAGATTAATATGTCAAACCATTCCCTGGGGGATTGCTTTAACCCATATAATGACTTTCTAAGCTTGAAAACTTGACTCTCCTTGTCACGAGCTAAGTTATATCCTGGTGTAAGTCCATATATACTTCTTCTTCTAAGTCTCCATGTAAGAATGCATTTTTTACATCAAACTAATGTTATGGCCAATCGAGATGTGCTACTAGAGACAGAGACAGAAGGACTTTGATAGTTTTAATCTTGGCTACTGGGGTGAAGGTCTCTTGGTAGTTTATGTCATATCTTTGTGTGTACCCCTTCGCCACCAATCTAGCTTTATATCTTTTAATGGATCTATCTACTTTGAGTGTCACATTATAAATCCACCTGCATCCTACTGTCTTCTTTCCATGTGTTAATGGCACGAGTTCCCATATGTCATTCTTCTGGAGAGCTCGCATTTCTTTATTCATGGCTTTTTTCCATTTCGGGTCTTCTAATGCTTCGGTTACATTGTTGGGAACATGTATGTCGGCCAACTATTTCACAAAGTGTACCCATGACTCTGATAATCTGCTAATGGATACATAATTGTTGATGGGATATTTTCCTTTGGCATTAAGATCTGCTTTGTAGTGTACTGGAGGTTTGCCACGGTTCTTCTGTTTGGAATCTGATATGCAGGCTCTATGCCTTTTGAAATCAAATTATCATGGGATAGTTCATTAATCTTATCAGTTTCGGGACAAGATATTACCTGAATGACATCCTCAGCAGGTGATTGGTGTGGTATTGGAGCTGAAGAAGTCTCCGGAGTGGGAAAAATCTCATCAGTTTCCTTCTCCTGAGTTGGACAGCAAAGAGACAACAGATCAGGTTGAGGCTAGTTTTCAGGTAGCGACCGGTCGCTTCCAAGCTAAGCGATCGGTCTTTTTCTGGTAGAGTCATAAGCGACCGGTCGTTATAAGGCTGCGATCCATCATTTTCAGGTAGAGTCATTGACAACCGGTTGCTTTCAACATGCGACCGGTCGCTTTCAGGCTAGGACGATTCTAGAGGGAAAAATCGAAAATTTGAAAGTGTTGGTGTTGCAATGCTCCTCCTGTGCAGCTGAAAAATATATGTCGTTTTCCCGGAACACAACATTCATAGAAGTATAAAATTTCTGATTATGAGGATGATAACACCGATATCCTTTCTGATGAGGTGCATAGCCAATGAAAACACACTTTTCGGCTCGGGGATCCAATTTGCTTCGTTGGTGATCATGTAAATGGATAAATACAACACAACCAAAAACTCGGGGTTCCAGGTTTGGGGTGGGTGATGTTTGGATATGGTGGTGAAGTATTTGAAAATTTAGGATACTAGAGGGAATCCGATTGATAAGGTATGCTGCAGAGACAACGGCTTCTCCTAAAAAAGATCGTGGCATATTGGCACCAAAGAGAGAGCCACAAATGACTTCCAACAAGTGTATGTTCTTTCTTTCAGCCACCCCATTCTGTTGTGGAGTGTAAGGGCATGAACTTTGATGTATAATGTCATGATCTTGTAAGAACTGGTTAAGATCATGGTTAAGAAATTCTCCGCCATTGTCAGAACGAAGAACTTAAATTCTGGCATGAAACCGAATCTCCACCATTTGACAAAACTGTTGAAACCTGGAATTGACTTCCCCTTTGTTTTGAGAAAAGAAACCCAAGTCATGCGTGTGCAATCATCTATAAACGTAACAAACCATTGCGCCCCTACGGGAGTGGCAATTTTAGTAGGTCCCCAAACATCAGAATGAGCAAGGGAAAATGGATCCAAACTCTAATTTGAACTTAATGGGAATAGGACACAATGGCTCTTAGCTCATAAAAAAAAACTCAAAACACTCAATAGGGCATAAAAGTAATTTAATAATCAAAATTAAATAAAATAAAGCCAACTGTTATTTTTTGTGTTATTTTTTGTTTGTTTATAGAAATTAAATGATGTAGAATTTATTCATATTTTGTGTGCTAAGATTGGGTATATGACTATATATCTCATAAATTTATGACATAGCTTAAACAATCCAGTCTTGCAACCTCACAATCAATAAGCTTGTAACATATATAAATTCCATAGTTCATGCTTGATATTGAAGATTAAATTGAATTGAATAACTCACTAGATTCGAAGATTTGTTCAAATAAGAAATGAATGCTACTTTCAAATTTTCCTTCATGACTTATGTAATTGATCTTAATTGTATGAATAATGTATAGAAAGAATCGGTTTCGATAGTTCCATAGTTCGCCAGATGGAGATGAATGCGTGGAAGATTTCCAGACCTTGTATGTGGTGCATTGAGACTTTTGGCAAACGACAAAAACAATTACATTATTGAGACTTGTTTTTCAGAGAGGCCAACTTAAACGAAGAATATCTTAATTCCTTTGTTATTTTACTCATTATATATGTTCACATGTTTATACTATTTTATTTTATATTTTCCACAAAATTTATAGGTAATGTTGGTTCGAGGTTTTCGATACGATATATTCTGAAAGAAATTTTTTCGTTAGAAAAATATAATGTTGATTGAGAGTGGCTAGATCTTACCTACATATCGGTTAACTTTGAAACAACGTGAAACTCAATTTTGTGTCATTTCTTCATATTGACTATTACTTCCAATTTTGTGTAACATTGCTGTATAAATGCCAGCTTCTCATCATTCATCATTGTATAAGCTAATCCTCTGTTCTTAGTTTTCTCTCCTTTTTTTTTTTTCTTTATTTGGAGGGTTGGTCAACTTGAAATTTCATTGGATGAGAAAAATAGCTGAGATACAGTATCTTTTTTCTTGTTTTGTTTTTGGGCCTGTGTGCCATGAGTTATCGTATCTAATTACATAAGGCCACGTGTTGTTTTGGGCGCGAAACCCAAGGACATGAGATGCCGATAATGCCCTTAACAGATTTCCTGAATTACAGAAGGCTAGACGCCACGTAGGCAGATAACAGATTTCCTGACGGACTCGCTAACGGAGGAGGCAATCTGTAGGTTTTCCGCGACGTTGAGTATGTACTCATAAATGTTCCCAAAATTGGGTATGAACTCGTAAATAACCCTATAGGTTGGGGGGTTTACTGTAGTTTACCCTTGATTTTATTTATTTACTGTATTACCATTGTATTCGATAGCTAGCTCTTGAATGGGTTTGGTGGTCTGATAGTGTTCGACAACCAGCTCTCAAATGAGTTTGGTATTGTGTGATAAAATGTATTATGGTGTACCAGAGGTATTTTTAATAGTTAAATTGGGTGTACTTAATTACTTTTACATCTATATCTCTATATATAAAGCAAAAGATAGAGAATTGTGAAACATTCAAAATACCAAAAAATGCCCTTGGTTAATGCAAACATTAAGAATTGAAATTATTAATTAAATGAGGATAATATGGTAAATTCACACTTTTTCATATTAAAAAAATTAAAATTAAAAAAAAAAAAAGCACCTCGCATGAGTGGAAGCGAGTGCGGAGAGGCTAGTATATACACATTTTTTTCATATTAAAAAAATTAAAATTAAAAAAAAAAAAAGCACCTCGCATGAGTGGAAGCGAGTGCGGAGAGGCTAGTATATACACATTTTTTTCATATTAAAAAAATTAAAATTAAAAACAAATTTATATAATAAGTCATACTTTTATGGAACATAACTACCCATGTTATCTTTTCTTAATTCTAAAAATAAAATTAAAAAAGAAAAAATAAAACCAATCATGCATGTGCCAATGGGCTAGTTTTAATTTAAATATTAGAGTATACTTAGATCATATGATGTATTCAGTTAATTTTAAAATTCATTTAACAACACCCTTAATTTAATTTATAATGCATGTATTATATCCTCATGCATACATGCATGCCTTAATCTCTAATCAGCTCTGATAAGTGTTTGTACCAGAGTAATGGTAGGCAGAGAAATTTGACCCCAAAAACAAAAACAAAATGATATGCAATAATGGTATTATTTTGTTTTGTAACCATGACAATAATTGAGTTGTTCATAAAAAAATTTATAAAAATTCCGACAATCCTCCATGATCAATTACATCCCTCGATCTTCTCTCTCTTATAAATTAAAAATTATCGCTTCGATCAATGCGATTAAACTTGAGGGTCAAATAGCCACCATACCAAAAGTAGCAAGCAAACACACTACACAGCATGATCCCCAAGTGTTGGATGTTGATGTCAATTGTAAAGCATATATATATGGTACCAATACCAAAAGTAATTGCCACTTGCAATTGGAGTCTTGTTTATTCCATGTTTCCTCATCTTGTGGAGGAATAAAAAAAAAAAAAAAGAGCTTTTTTTGCCACTTGCCACTTGCTACTTTCAAATTTTCCTTCATGATGTTGAGAGTGTTTGTCCCACATTGAAATGTTAAGGGACCTAGCCTGGGTTTATAAGGAGTTGGGCTACTCCCCTCATTGCCAATTAGTTTTGGGGTGGAACCTCAACTTACTTCATGGTATCAGAGCCAGGTTTCACGTGTTGGGCCCAATGGCCACATGTGCTCGTGCTCCCACGTCACCCAATATGTGTTGTCCACGTGTTAGGCTTGAAAGTTCGCCACACTGCGGGGGCGTGTTGAGAGTGTTTGTCTCACATTGAAATGTTAAGGGACCTAGCCTGGGTTTATAAGGAGTTGGGCTACTCCCCTCATTGCCAATTGATTTTGGGGTGGAACCTCAACTTACTTCACATGACTTATGTAATTGATCTTAATTGTATGAATAATGTATAGAAAGAATCGGTTTTGATAGTTCCGTAGTTCTCTAGATGGAGATGAATGCGTGGAAGATTTCCAGGGACCAACTTGTATGTGTTGCATTGAGACTTTTGGCAAACGACAAAAACAATTACATTATTGAGACTTGCTTTTTAGAGAGGCCAACTTAAACGAAGAATATCATAATTCCTTTGTTGTTTTACTCATTATATATGTTCACATGTTTATACTATTGTATTTTATATTTTCCACAATATTTATAGGTAATGTAGGTTCAAGGTTTTCGATACGATATATTCTGAAAGAATTTTTTTCATTTAAAAAAATATTACATCGATTAAGAGTAGCTGGATCTTACCTACATATCGGTTGGCTTCGAAACGTGAAACTCAATTTGTGTCATTTCTTCATATTGACTATTACTTCCAGTATCTCATCATTCATCTTTGTATAAGCTAATCCTCAGTTCTTCGTTTTCTCTCCCTTTTTTCTTCTTTTTTTCTTTTTTTGGAGAGAGAGAAAGAGGGGGGGTGGGGGGCAACTTGAATTTCATTGGATGAGAAAAATAGCTGAGATACAGTATCTTTTTTTCTTGTTTTGTTTTTGGGCCTGTGTGCCACGAGTTATCGTATCTAATTTATTATGTGTTAAATAGTAGTGCACGTTAACTACTATATATATATATATATATATCATATGTGAGGTGGCCACCACCATCCTTGAACCTTTTATTTTTATTTTTTGAAGTTGTTTTTATTTCAAGGTATAGTATTAGTATAACTGTACGTATGCACGACTTATATTGGCATCTTAGTTTATGTTTACATTTTCCACGCCGTGCAATTTTATATGCCATTTCCAGATTCTATATATACCACCCCTTCTGTAATAGGTTGATATAACTTACAATTAAGAAAGCCCTAAGAGCAAGAAAACCTAGCTAAAATATTAACCCAATGGCAATGAAGCAACCTCACGTAGTCATCTTTCCCTTCCCACTCCAAGGTCACATGAAGCCCTTGCTATGCTTAGCCGAGCTTCTCTGCCATGCAGGCCTTCATGCCACCTATGTCAACCCCCCCCCCACCCACCAGCGCTTGGCCAACCGCCAGGCCCTCTCGACTCATTTCCCCACCCTCCATTTCGAGTCCATCTCCGATGGCCTCCCCGAGGACGACCCCCGTACCCTGAATAGCCAGTTGTTGATTGCGTTGAAGACGTCCATTAGGCCTCATTTCCGGGAGCTGCTCAAAACCATTTCGCTTAAGGCCGAATCGAATGATGCTCTGGTGCCGCCTCCGAGCTGTATCGTGACAGATGGGCTCGTGACTTTTGCGTTTGATGTGGCGGAGGAGCTGGGGCTGCCCATTCTAAGTTATAACGTTCCTTGTCCTCGTTACCTGTGGACTTGTCTTTGTCTCCCCAAGCTCATTGAGAATGGCCAGCTTCCTTTTCAAGGTAAGAGTCTCTACTTCACCTCTTATTTTATTATGAAAGACCTCCTTATCACTTCAATTTTTCGTTTGTTTTTTGTCTTATGAAACTTACTTACATGGATTTTGGATAATAGAAAACATAAATAAAACTTGAAATATAAACACAAATAAATTGACACGTAACACGTTGGGGTGGAATGATACATGTAATATTTTGGAAGCTTCAAACAAGATCCTCCCGCGCATGTAACTCTCATACAATATTTTGGAAGTCGTCAGCACAGAGCTGTCATAATTAATTAACTTGCTTTTTAAAAAAAAAGAAATTTAATAATGTGATTTGTGAGTTCTAAACAGATGATGACATGAATGTGGAAATTACGGGAGTGCCCGGAATGGAAGGCCTTTTGCGTCGCCAAGACTTGCCAGGTTTTTGCCGAGTCAAACAAGCTGACCACCCATCTCTTCAATTTGCTATCAACGAGACCCAAACCCTAAAACGATCCTCGGCTCTCATTCTCGACACAGTTTATGAGCTCGATGCCCCATGCATTTCCCACATGGCCCTCACGTTTCCCAAGATTTACACCCTTGGACCACTCCACGCCCTCCTCAACTCCCAAATAGGTGACATGTCTCGAGGTCTAGCATCCCACGGCTCTCTTTGGAAAAGCGACCTAAACTGCATGACGTGGCTCGACTCCCAGCCGTCCAAATCGGTTATCTACGTCAGCTTCGGGACTTTGGTCCACTTGACACATGCCCAGGTGATAGAGTTTTGGTACGGTCTAGTCAACAGTGGACACCCGTTTTTGTGGGTCATGAGGTCTGACATCACATCTGGGGACCACCAAATTCCAGCGGAGCTGGAAAAGGGTACGAAAGAAAGAGGGTACATAGTGGATTGGGTTTCGCAGGAGGAGGTGCTAGCCCACAAATCGGTAGGTGGGTTTTTGACCCACAGTGGGTGGAACTCGACGCTTGAAAGCATTGTGGCCGGGCTGCCCATGATCTGTTGGCCGAATTTGGGGGACCATTATATTATTAGCAGAACTGTTTGCCGGCAGTGGAAGATTGGTCTCCAATTGAATGAAAATTGTGACCGGTCCAACATTGAGAGCATGGTTCAAACTTTGATGGGACCCAAAAGGGAGGAGATCCAGAGCTCCATGGATGCCATTTCGAAGTTGGCTCGTGACAGTGTTGCCGAAGGTGGATCTTCTCACAACAACTTGGAGCAGTTGATCGAATACATTAGAAATTTGCAACACCAGAACTAGCTAGCTAGCTAGCTGGTGATACTATATTTCACTTTTCATTGGAATAATTTGTTGTGTTATTTGGTGATGAGGTTTGGAAGATTGGGTTCGATATGAAGGATAAGTCTGATGTAAGGGCTTTGAGGGAAGATCATGCAAGTGAGCACATTCCCAAGTCTGTGGAGAGGTTCGCAAAATTGGCTCAGAATGCTGTTTGTGAAGCTGGCTCGTACTTCGTACAACAACGTGGAGAAACTTATTGAAGACCTAATAAAAGAAATTGTGTATCAAGTAGATTGCTTAAGTTTATATGTCTTGTTCGTGTGTGCTAGTATATATGTATCATTGCTTCTTGAATAAACAATCCCAAAAAATCCAAAATCCAAAATCCAAAATTTTCATCCACAAGTGAAGTGATACATGCATGCAAGGGGTCAATCGAGCTCTTTTCCCACAAATTGCTGTCTGTAACTTTAATTGTAGGTGTTGATGTTCTATTGTTTTGCGGGATTAAAACAAATTCCACGACGACTAATTGTTTTGTTTGACAAAATCTGGAGACATGTAAACACAATTTATCATGCAGATATTAAAGGCCTCATGCATACATTCATGACCACAAAAATAAAAGGGTATGCAAAGTAATGGTAGGTGAAAAAAACGATTATTTGTTTTGTAACCACGACAAGATAGAGTTGTTCATAAATTTTTTTATGAAAATTCCGACAATCATCCACAATCACTGTAGGCAAAATCGCATGTGAACACACTACACAGCATGATCCCCAAGTGTTGGATGTTGATGTCAATTGTCAAGCACATATATATATGGTACCAATACCAAAATTAATTGCCACTTGCAACTGGAGTCATTTTTATTCCATGTTTCCTCATCTTCTGGAGGAATAAAAAAAAGAATTTAAAAGATTCTCTTCAAATTCCCAGTTGCCAGACATAGCTGGATCTCCATGGAAAATTAATGCTGCACATGATATATAATATATATATTAGTCATTTCGTTGGAATAGGTTGATTGCATGGAATATTAGTCATTTTGTTTGAGAATACCAGCTTAGCCAACCTTGTATATTGATCGAAACAACAACAATATTGCCCTGAGGCTGGGATCCAATAGTTGGTTCGGATTTCCAACCTCACAATCAATAAGCTTGTAACCTACATAAATTCCATAATTCATGCTTGCGTTATCGAAGATTGAATTGAATAACTCATTAGATTCGAAGATTTGTTCAAATAAGAAATGAATGATACTTTCAAATTGATCTTAATTGTATGAATAATGTATAGAAAGAATCGGTTTCGATAGTTTCATAGTTCGCTAGATGGAGATGAATGCGTGGAATATTTCCACACCAACTTGTATGTGTTGCATTGAGACTTTTGGCAAAACGACAAAAACAATTACATTATTGAGACTTGTTCTTGAGAGAGGCGAACGTAAAGGAAGAATATCTTAATTCCTTTGTTATTTTACTCATTATATATGTTCGCGTGTTTATACTATTGTATTTTATATTTTTGACGTTTTCGATATGATATATTCTGAAAGTACTTTTTCCGTTTAGAAAAATATTATGTTGATTGAGAGTGACTGAATCTTTCCTACATATCATTGAGAGTGACTGAATCTTTCCTACATATCGATTGACTTTAAAACAACGTGAAACTCAATTTTGTGTCATTTCTTTATATTGACTATTATTTCCAATTTTGTGTAACCTTGATGTATAAATGCCAGCATCTCATCATTCATCATTGTATAAGCTAATCCACTGTTCTTATTTTTCTCTCCTCTCTTTTTTTTTTTTGGTGGGGGGCCAACTTGAATTTCATTGGATGAGAAAAATAGCTGAGACACGGTATCTTTTTTCTTGTTTTGTTTTTTTTTTTTGGTCTGAACCACGAGGTGGTCCTAGATGGGCTCCAACTATGGATGGCACCTTTAAGCCTTAACCACAACCCAGACTAATCCCCGTTCACACCGGGTCGGCCCGTAAGGAGTAAAGTGCTGGCCAAAGTGGTGACTCCATACGAGAGCAGGGATCGAACCCCTGACCTCTCTTAAGGAATGAGAGTGCCGAACCACTCACACCAACCACCTTGGTTTTTCTTGTTTTGTTTTTGGGTACACGTTAACTACTATATATATCATATGTGAGGTGGCCGCCATCCTTGAACCTATTTTTATTTTTATTTTAAGGTATAGTATTATGTGTTTGTATGCATGACTTATATTGGCATCTTAAGCCATCTCCAACCATGTGTTATATTTCAAATATAGCCTTAAAATAATGCAAAACCCAACTCCAGCCATGGGCTAAACAAAATTTTGGCCAAATTTGGAGGGTCAAATTTGGCCATTTAGCCCTCCAACAGGGCTATATATAGCCCAGCTTTGGCTTAGGCCAAATTTTAGTGGGCCTCATGCATTTGCTTTTCAACAATCAACAGTAAAGCACGATGATGTCATAGCTGGATATATATATATATATATATATATTTTTAACAACGTTTTTAAATGTGTCAATTCGTGTTGTTGAAGACAAAACTATAAAATATTATTGGTCATGACCGTTGAGTTCAAACCATTGAAACCCATTCTTTTTTTTTTCTTTTCTTTTTTAAAAAATAAATGTGGCCCCTTTTTAAATGTTTTCAAGTGTTGTTTTAAAAAAAAATTATAAAAAATTATCCCTAAATAGTAGTTTAATTAAATATAGAATATTGTTTCTAATTAGTAGTTTAATTAAGTTAAACAATATATAGTTGTGGAATGTATGAGTGTTGTACCAATAGTTTTTCTCAAAATAATAAAATATGAAGGACCCTAAAATAGAGCCATGCATGGCTGGAGATGGAAAAATTTAGCCCTACAGTATTCTTTAAAAAAATTATTATTTTGAAGGGCTAAATTTTTAGCCATGAACTACATTTAGTAGTTTATGTTTACATTTTCAACGCCGTGCAATTTTATATGCCATTTCCAGATTCTATATATACCACCCCTTCTGTAATAGGTTGATATAACTTACAATTAAGAAAGCCCTAAGAGCAAGAAAACCTAGCTAAAATATTAACCCAATGGCAATGAAGCAACCTCACGTAGTCATCTTTCCCTTCCCACTCCAAGGTCACATGAAGCCCTTGCTATGCTTAGCCGAGCTTCTCTGCCATGCAGGCCTTCATGTCACCTATGTCAACACTCACCACAACCACCAGCGCTTGGCCAACCGCCAAGCCCTCTCGACTCATTTCCCCACCCTCCATTTCGAGTCCATCTCCGATGGCCTCCCCGAGGATGACCCCTGTACCCCGAGTAGCCAGTTGTTGATTGCGTTGAAGACGTCCATTAGGCCTCATTTCCGGGAGCTGCTCAAAACCATTTCGCTTAAGGCCGAATCGAATGATGCTCTGGTGCCGCCTCCGAGCTGTATCGTGACAGATGGGCTCGTGACTTTTGCGTTTGATGTGGCGGAGGAGCTGGGGCTGCCCATTCTAAGTTATAACATTCCTTGTCCTCGTTACCTGTGGACTTGTCTTTGTCTCCCCAAGCTCATTGAGAATGGCCAGCTTCCTTTTCAAGGTAAGAGTCTCTACTTCACCTCTTATTTTATTCATCTCTATATATACGAACGACCTCCATCACTTCATTTTTTGTTTGTTTTTTGAAATATAAACACTAATAAATTGACACGTAACACGTTGGGGTGGAATTGTACATGTCATATTTTGGAAGCTTCTAACAAGATCCTCCCGCGCATGTAACACTAATACAATATTTTGGAAGTCGTCAGCACAAAGCTGTCATAATTAATTAACTTGCTTTTAAAATTTTTTTTAATAATATGATTTGTGAGTTCTAAACAGACGATGACATGAATGTGAAAATTACGGGAGTGCTAGGAATGGAAGGCCTTTTGCATCGCCAAGACTTGCCAGGTTTTTGCCGAGTCAAACAAGCTGACCACCCATCTCTTCAATTCGCTATCAACGAGACCCAAACCCTAAAACGAGCCTCGGCTCTCATTCTCGACACAATTTATGAGCTTGATGCTCCTTGCATTCCCACATGGCCCTCACGTTTCCCAAGATTTACACCCTTGGACCGCTCCACGCTCTCCTCAACTCCCAAATAGTTGACATGTCTCGAGGTCCAGCATCCCATGGCTCTCTTTGGAAAAGCGACCTAAATTGCATGACGTGGCTCGACTCCCAGCCGTCCAAATCAGTTATCTACGTCAGCTTTGGGACTTTGGTCCACTTGACACGTGCCCAAGTGATAGAGTTTTGGTACGGCCTGGTCAACAGTGGACATCCGTTTTTGTGGGTCATGAAGTCCGACATCATATCTGGGGACCACCAAATTCCAGGGGAGCTGAAAAAGGGTACAAAAGAAAGAGGGTACATAGCGGATTGGGTTTCGCAGGAGGAGGTGCTGGCCCACAAATCGGTAGGTGGGTTTTTGACCCACAGTGGGTGAAACTCGACGCTTGAAAGCATTGTGGCCGGGCTGCCCATGATCTGTTGGCCGAATTTGGGGGACCATTATATTATTAGCAGAACTGTTTGCCGGCAATGGAAGATTGGTCTCCAGTTGAATGAAAATTGTGACCGGTCCAACATTGAGAGCATGGTACAAACTTTGATGGGACCCAAAAGGGAGGAGATCCAGAGCTCCATGGATGCCATTTCGGAATTGGCTCGTGACAGTGTTGCCGAAGGTGGATCTTCTCACAATAACTTGGAGCAGCTGATCGAATACATTCGAAATTTGCAACACCAAAACTAGCTAGCTAGCTAGCTGGTGATATTATATTTCACTTTTCATTGGAATAATTTGTTGTGTTATTTGGTGATGAGGTTTGGAAGATTGGGTTTGATATGAAGGATAAGTCTGATGTAAGGGCTTTGAGGGAAGATCATGCAAGTGAGCACATTCCCAAGTCTGTGGAGAGGTTCGCAAAATTGGCTCAGAATGCTGTTTGTGAAGCTGGCTCGTACTTCGTACAACAACGTGGAGAAACTTATTGAAGACCTAATAAAAGAAATTGTGTATCAAGTAGATTGCTTAAGTTTATATGTCTTGTTCGTGTGCGCTAGTATATATGTACCATTGCTTCTTGAATAAACAATCCAAAAAAATCCAAAATCCAAAATTTTCATCCACAAGTGAAGTGATGCATGCAAGGGGTCAACGTTGGTGTTCTATTGTTTTGTGGGATTGAAACAAATTCCCCCACGACTAATCTGTCTTCTAACTTCCCACAAATTGTTTTGTTTGACATGTAAACACAATTTTTCATGCAGATATCAAAGGCCTCATGCATACATGCATGACCTAATAGTAAGCAGAGAAATTTGACCACAAAAATAAAAGGGTATGCAAAGTAATGGTAGGTAAAAAAAAACGATTATTTGTTTTGTAACCACGACAAGAGTTGTTCATAAATTTTTTTATGAAAATTCCGACAATCATCCACAATCACCATAGCAAAAGTGGCATGTAAAGTAAACATCCCCAAGTGTTGGATTATTTTATTTTATTTTATTTTTTAATGTTTTATGTCAATTGTCAAGAATATATACCAAAAGTCATTGCAATTAGAGTTTTTTTGTTCCATATTTCCTTATCTTGTGGAGGAATTAAAATATTCTCTTCACATTTCCAGCCTCACAATCAATAACCTTGTATAAAAGACTATATTCAACAAAGTTCACATTTGCTGTCTAAAATTGAATTGAATTGAATAACTTGTTAGATTGAAATAATCTTCGTTTTCAACCAAATGAATGTTTAGTTTCAAATTTTCCTTCATGACTTATGTAATTGATCTTAATGTGTGAATAACATAAAGAAAAAATGGGCTTCGATAGTTGGTTAGATTAACGAGAAGGGTTAACTGTCAATTTATCCCTTAAAATTATATGCTACTTTTAATATGCCCAGGTGATAGAGTGGTCAATAGCGGATACCCATTCATGTGGGTCATAAGATCCACATCACATCTTGGGCCCACCAAATACCCGCGGAGCTTGAAACGGATCAGAAAGAAAGAGGGTTAAATAGTGGGTTTGGGTTTGGCAAGAGGAGGTCCTGGCCCACAAAGCGGTGGGTGGGTTTTTGACCCAAAGTGGGTGGAACTCGATGCTTGAAAGCATTGTGGTTGGGCTGCCCATGATATGGTGGCTCATATATAGGCCTTGACTATAGAATTCTCGGAAAGGCTATAATGAGGGCTTAAAGTGAGGAGGTTATTTGAGGAGGTTAAATCTCACCATCAACAAATGTAAAGAAATCATGGGACTTAATTATTTTAAATGTTTTGACGGTCGGATCGGTCTCCTCAAATCACCTCCTCACTTTAACTCCTTATTGTAGAAGCTCCCTAGAATTCTTGCTCCAATTGAATGAAAATTGTGATCAGTCCTGAGAGCATAATCAGATCTTTGATGGGACCCAAAAGGGAGGAGATCCAGAGCTCAATGGACACCATTTTGAAATTGGTTCAAAATGGTGTTGTGAAAGGCTGATCGTCCCACAACAACTTGGAGCAGCTCATCGAATACATTCGGAGTTTGCAACATCACAGCTAGTTTTCATTCAGTCCCGATCTCTTGGATCACAGGAGTTCAAGAGATTGCCGTCACCCACCGTTGGATATTAATCCAATGGTTCAAAAAAGTTTCTTAAAAGGAATGCAAGAGTGAGTGAACCGTTGAATTTACATCTAACAGTAAGTGACCACAAATCTCTTAGACCCCTATAGTCCAAGAGATCATGACTGTGGAATTTGTCAGTCCTGATCTCTTGGAATTTGTTGTGTTTTTTATTCATCTTGTATATGTTGCATTGAAATGTACGGTTGTTTTATTTTGAATTAGTTGGTTGTAATATGTTGACAAAACCTGGCTAAGAGTATTAGTGGGTGGTGGATAATGGCCCATTTTATTTATATTCTTAATGAATAATTCTTCAAGATCGATTTGTAGATGCCATAAACATAATAACAGAATATTTTAGCTCCATGACTACCATAACTAATTCTTTTATGTTTAGTTAGTCTTAAGCTTGATTAGTTATAAGCTAATCATTGTAATATTCCTGTCATGTTTTTGCTTATATTAAAAATGAAGCTATAATGCTACATTTTCAAAATATGAAATCTCGTCGTGGACAATTATAGCTTGTAATGTTGTTTTTGACATGAATTATGAATAAAAGTACTATTTCATTTTCAATTTTCCATCTTAAATTTTTTTTGGAACTTTTACACTATGACTCTATGAAGTAAGATTCCTAAATCCGTCATAAATGACTACCATGCATCTTAATTAGGGCTGGGCATTTAAACCGGAAAACCGAACCAAATTGAATAAAATAAACCGGTTGACTAAAAAAGTCAACAAATTGACACTGAACCGGACCGGACCGGTTTGAACCGGTTCCAGTTTCGAGTTTACATACTACAGGACCGGACCGGATCGGACCGGTTATATTAATTTTTTATTTATTTATTTTAAAATATCTTATATTTAAGCCCAATTCAACTTAACCCAAATAAAAAGCCTAACTTTAAAACCCATGTACCTTTTATTTTCAAAGCTCATTCCAATCCCTCTTAAACTCTCTCTATTTTTTTCACTTTCTTTTCTCTTCCCAAAGCTCAGCTCTCTTTTCAGTCAGCCCTCTTTTCAGTCTTCAATCAGCTCTCTTTTCAGTCAGGCTTTTCTTTTTGTCCTTCTCTCTCTCTCTCTCTCTCCCGCTTCCCCATTTCCTTTCTTTCCTTTATTCTTTCTTCTCTCTTTTACCTTTCCCATTTCTTTTTTTCATTCCTCCTTCTTCTTCTTTTTTTCCGTTTCTTCCTCTCCCTTCTATTTTTTTATTTCTTCTTCTTCTTCTCTCTCTCTCTCTCTCTCTCTCTCTCTCTATCTCTCTCTCTCTCTTTTCCTTTTCTTTCCTTTCTTCCGTTCCCTTTTCTTTTCTTCTTTTTTCTTCTTCTTCTTCCCTGCGACTTCACTCTCTCTCTACCCTTTTTTTTTCTTCTCTGCAACTTCACTCTCTCACTCTCTCTCTCCGTGTGATCTGATGAAAAGGATGAAAGGAGTTCTTGCTATGGATGTAACACCCCGACCCCAAATTTATCCCATGTTTTAATTTATTTAAGTGGAATTGAGAAATTACCCGTGGGATAGGGGTATTTTAGTCATTTTCTTATCCGGAAGTAATTTGGAAATTCCGGTTGTACCGTTGCGTAAAGCACGGTGAGATGAGTCCGTAGACACGT